CAACCCCTCACCTTCCAACCGACCCCCAAACCCTCCCCGTTTTGCTGCCTCTGTAAATAACTGCAAATCCCCCTGGGACACGCGCTGCCGCCGTCCTGTGACTCTCAGCCCTTCTGAACGAGGCGCTCAGGAGACCTGCTGCTGCCCAGGTGGCTTTTGGGAGGGGAAAAGAAAAAAGAAAAAAAAGGAAAAGAAGAAGAAAAATTAAGCCTTTTTTCCCCACATTTTGCTGCCGCCTTAACGGTGCGTTGCGAAGGAGCCCTCTGCCTCGAAATACCGCCACAAACAAAAATCGAGAAGGCAAAATTGATGGTTGCATCAGCCCTCGCTTGTGAAAACCGATCCCCAGGAAAATGTAATTCAACTCTCCTGCGATCGAACTCCGTGCCCAGGAATGTAATAACTTCACTCGGATCCTCTTTTTAGGGGGACTCCTAAATCCTTGGCGACGTCCCTTAAGGTCATGAGTAAAGCCTGATACGGAGAACGGCTTGGCAAGCACCAGAACAGTAAAAGGGCTAAATAATTGGGGATTACCTCTGACCCCGGGTTGTAGCTCACCACCCTCTGCAGGAATGTACCCAATCTCTGACGGAGCACGCGGGAGTCAGACAATTCGGGGGCATGAAGCTGTCCACGTACGCTCAGAGCCTGAACTTAAAATGCAGAGCAGGTTGGCCCCAGACCTCATTTTTCATTAGCAATCAGCTGCAGCCAGCTCTAATTATTTCTGCTGCCTCGGACAGGGGGTCAGCGATGGGATAGATTAAAAATCATACGTGTGGTTTTTTTCCCCCCTTCTCTTTGTTTGGAAGAAAACAGCCCAGCTCTGCGGGGAGGGGAGGAACCACCTGAGTGAGGCCCCGTTATTTCGGGGGGTCCCTGTCCCCTAGGGTGGGGGGGGACACACAGACACATCGCTTCCAGCTTTTTCCCTGGTGGTTCTCACCGAATTTGTTGGGTGCCCACCCGGGAGATGGTCTCTGCTGGGAGCAGTCCGGGGCCTGGAGCTGTGGTTTGAACCTCAGCACTTTGTTTTCGGGCTGTGAGCCCGCTCCTGGGGGTCCTGGGGGTGCCCCCCCACCAGCTCCGGGCACAAAATACCAAGAAGACCATCCCGAGGGGGGGCAACCCCAGCACCTGTTTTGGGGGAGCCCCGTGTCGCTGCCTTGGTTGCACTGGGGACGCAGCTGGCATCTTGTACAGAGTATTTTGGGGGGTTTTTTTTTTTTTTTTTTTTTACAAACCTTACATTTACAGCTACATTTCTGCGAGGTTCTGATTTCCCATAGGATTCCTCCCGGAACCGACACACACCTTCGGATGGGTGAGACTTGAAAGGCCCCGTCTCCATCGCCCCTGTGAAAATCTCTGCACTCTTCGGCCTCAGAGCCCTCCCGAGGCAGAGCAGGAGCAGGAGCAGGAGT